CGTCAATCAATCGACGGTCCGTCGATTGGGTCCGTAGGTCGAGTCTGCTCGACAGGGCTTCACTAAAATGATCATAACTTTTTACTGGGACGTCGGAATTAAGAAAACTCGGTGGCGTTGGAAATATAATTAAATTATCTATCATATCATAGGTCATGGGACACAAAATTCCTTTTGTGCTAAAATTTATGACCATCTGAAGTTGACCCATCAATAATTTTCAGCTAACTGGCTGCTGACCCTCATCTACGGTCAGACCTATGAACCATGGATCAAATGATGGTCCGTGCTGGTCGACCGTAGTTTGTGTCAAAGGTTGGGTAAGGGAAGTCTCGATCCACGGACACAGACCACGGACCGTGGTCTGATCTACGGACCCTGGGTCTATCCGTGAGTTGGGACTTAGCCAATTTTCTGAGCTGGGTCTGGGAGGGGTTTCAGTGTTGAACCACGGACCACCAGCACGGGTCATGGTCTGACCTACGGTCCATGGATGGTAACCATAGGTTGCACCTGCAACTTCTCAAAATCTGCATTTTGGTCTGTTTCGAATACGGGGTGTTACACAATATCTCTAGGTAAATCCCTACGTAGATGGCCCAATTGTTTTTTAAAAAATCCTTTTTAATCTGTAGGAAAATTCCTGATTGTCTGAAAAATTATTTTTGGGGATTTACCTAGGCATTTGATTACCTTGAGAAATAATTGAGGATTTAGGAATTATTAGACCAATTATCTTTTAGATGGTTGGATTCTTTTACACTCATAATTTTCTTGGCTAATAGACCAATTAAAAACTCAATCAAAACTTTAGGAATTGGAAAGTAATTGTAAGACCAATTATTCTAACTCTCTTTTCCTTCTCTCTAACTCACTTTACTCAAACCCACTAAGCTAGAAGCTTCTCTCTAAAACTCACATGCAAAAGCGATGGTGGAAACAATCTAATTTTCCAAAGCTCCAATTGGTGTAGCTCCAAGTTCCAAGCTCATCTTAAAACTCTCCAAGCAGACCTCATGCTTCTCTCCAAACGGATTTTTCGGAAGTAAAGGACTACAGATCAAGAAGATTTGCCTGCCAATCTACCCAAAAAATCAAGGTTAATCTACAAATTTCAAGCTCTGTAAGGTTAATCTGTAAATTTCCGTTTACTGATTTAGTTTGGATGAAAATCAAGTGAATTTTTTTGCAAATCAAATATCTCGCTGAAATAATTGGTCAATGATTGTTGCAGTGTTAAGTTTAGCTCCTTTTTTATTTTTCATTAGTTGTATTTCTTCTTAGGTTCTTGTCATGTTGTTCTGGAATCTCTTCAATTTGTTCGCATCTTCAAATTTTTCTTAGTTGATGTGAGTTTCTGTTTTAATAAGTGAATGTGAGATGTTGTGTTTTAGATCTTGTACTTTTTTAATGAAAAAATGATTGGAATATTTTTAGAGTTTCATTTATCGATAAAAAGGTCATAAATCATGCTATGTTTCGGGTCAAAGAAGAGCAAAACCAACCAGTGTCTACTTGTGTTGTTCCATTGCTAAGCATGTGTGGACTCAACACTATTTTGTAGGAAACAACCAAGAGAACATAGCCTGCAAAGTATAGACGATTATCTCTAATCCATATGAATAACATGTTGTGCTGACTTAAATTTGTCAAGAAAATCAATTGACTCAGTGCTCCTTGAATTGTTTAGTTTATATAAGGAGGATAATGAGTTGAATTTAGATAGCACTTTTTTATAATGACAGTCTACATTCATTCCAATACAACCAACATTATGGTCCTGTATCGCCTAGTGTACTAAGACAAGATATTTTCGTTTGTATGTTGGATTCGTAGATAGATCATCTAGCCTTAAAGTTATGAGTTTGCTTGAATTCAACAACAACAACATATCTAGTGAAATTCCACAAAGATGGGTCTGGGGAGGGTAGAGTGTACGCAAGACCTTACCACTACCTCATGGAGGTAGAGATGCTATTTTCGAAAGACACTCAAATCAAGCCTTGGGTTGTATCCAAAGAGGATGGGTAATGATGGGTAACCAATAGGACTCCAGTCACCTCATCTAGTACAGTTGGCAATGGGGACAATGACCATCAAATCTGGATTGTACCTTAAGAGGATGGGTAATAAGACTAACTTTTAATAATACATTTGCTTAGCTGAATTGTTTATCTGTTTATATGTTTGATGACTACTATATTTTATATAGGTTTGTTCCTCACAAGATAGTTATTGAAGGCATTGCTAGTTGGATTCGTAGTAAATTTGAATTGGCTAGACCCTTATGAAAGAAGTTTCCAGAATCTACTCATGATATGTGGTTTGAGGAACTCAAGGTAAGGACACTATACACATATGATACATCAAGTCATATGATTTCGATGTTAACCTGAGTTATTGCTTATTGCCTTCACTAATTTCCTGTCAATCTCGTTAGGATCTTTTGTTTGGTTCATTTTAGCTCTTGCTTCTCTTATTTAATTCTTCATCTTGCTCATTGGGTTGTTGAGTTTCACTTTCATGGACATTAAGGTTTTAACTTCTCGACATATCTAGTTAGGTTTAGTTTTCATTTTTGGTATGTTTTTGGGGCTAGCTGTTAAGTCTTAGTTCGGTTAATGGTTAATGTTCTAGAGGCAATCACTTTTTCCTCTAGTTTCTTATGTAGCGTATGTGTTTAAATCTTTTGTTAATCACCCATACATTTGTATGTGATCTTGTGTCTTGTTCAAAGATTTCTTCTTCCTCTTCAGATTATGTACAATCGTTGGTGACGTTGGATTCTGTGCAAGGAATTGGAGAGAATAACTTGTATCTTATTCAATAGGTGAACCTGTATAAATACAATAATATTAGAAGCTTACTAAGGACAGAAATAAAGAGGAAATCCTAAAGATATGCTATTTATCTATATCTTTGTACAATATCAAGAAAGAGATCTATATACATTCTGTAACACTCCCCCTCAAGCTGGAGCATGTATATTGATCATGCGCAACTTGTTACAAAGGTAATTTACCCGAGCTCCATGCAATGCCTTCATGAACAAATCAACTACTTGTACTTTTGTCTTCACGTAACCCGCAAATATCAAGTTTTCCTGAATCTTCTCACGAATAAAATGACAATCAACCTCAATAAGTTTCGTTCTTTCATGATATACCAGATTTGAAGCAATATGAAACGCATCTTGATTATCACACCTAAGTTTTGATGAAGTAGAATGCTTCAATCCAATTCTTGTTAAAAGATGATGTATCCACATGATTTCACATGTAGAATGTGTCATTGCTCTATACTCAAATTTTGCACTAGACCGAGATACAACGTTTTGTTTCTTACTTTTCCATGACACCAAGTTTCCACCAACAAAAACACAATAACCAGTAGTAGATCTTCGATCAATCTTGGATCCAGCCCAATCTGTATCTGCGAAACACTTAATGTGATAGTGTCCATGATTGCTATACAATATACCAAGTCCAGGGGATCTTTTTAAATAACATAAGATTTGTTCTAAAGTTGCCTAATGTCTGTCTGCGGGTGTGGACATGAACTGAATAACCAAACTTACTGCAAAGGCGATATCTGGACGAGTAATAATGAGATAATTTAATTTCCCAAAGACTTTCTGTACCGTTCTGGATCTTCAAATGGATAGTCATCATATTTCATAAGATGCATATTAGAAACCATTAGAGTATTGCAAGGCTTGGCAGCCAACTTTCCAGTTTTTGCTAGTAGGTCAAGAATATACTTTCTCTGACATAGAAAAATACCGTTCTTGCTTCTAGATACTTCTATTCCCAAGAAGTATTTAAGTTGTCCCAAGTCTTTTCTATAAAACTTAGTATGTTTGAAAGACTTGAGAGAAGATATACCAGGAAAATCACTTCCAGTAATGACAATGTCATCGATATATACAACAAGGAGAATAGTTCCAATAGCAGATTTCCTATAAAAGACTGAATGATCACATTTGCTCTTTTTCAATCCGAACTCCTGAACTACCTCGCTAAATTTTCCAAACCAAGCTCGAGGACTTTGCTTCAAGTCATACAAGGACTTCTTCAAGTGACAAACATTTTCATACTCCCCCTGAGAAACAAAACCATGTGGTTGCTCCATATAAACTTCTTCATGGAGATCACCATGAAGGAACGCATTCTTAATATCCAACTGATGTAACGGCCAATTCTCAGAAGCAGCTAGAGAAATGAATAAGTGGACAGATGTGAGTTTGGCAACCGGAGAGAAGGTGTCTGAATAATCCACCCCAAAAGTCTGAGCATACCCTTTGACCACAAGTCTTGTCACAGAGCCATCTGAATTAACTTTGACTGTGAATACCCACTGCTTTCTTTCCACTAGGTAAGTCTACCGGATACCATGAGTGATTTTCCTCTAAGGCACATATTTCCTCAAGCATTGCTTTAGACCATCCAGGATGATTCAAAGCTTCCTTAACAGTTTTGGGTACAAAAATAAAGTCTAGAGATACAATCAAAGATCTAGATGCGGGAGATAACTGACCGTAGGAAACAATATTACCAATGGAATATATGGATTTGCAAGTGCATGTACCTTTGCAAAGAGCAATATGAAGGACAATATTTTATGTAGGATCACTTGGAGGAGGATCTGATGACGAATGAGTTGGTGCATCATAGGTATCATTAGTCTTCCGCCTCCTAGAGTAAACCTGAACAATGGGCGGTCTTGTTGGAGCTGATGGAACTGGCGTTGAAGGCACAATAGTAGATTGGTGCTCAATTGAAGAATTAGACGATGTATGAGAAATATCATTTGATTGTTCTGGTATGACCCTGGAAACTTGGTACACTAACCACTCATCTTTCTCCCTTGACTCGGAGAAATGGGAGGTGCATAGAAGAATGGTGTAGCCTCCGAAAAGGCTACATCAGTTGATACTAAATATTTTCCAAGTTCAGTAGAGTAACAACGATATCCTTTCTGAAGGCGAGAATATCCCAAGAAAACAAACTTCAAGGCCTTAGGATCCAACTTCGTAACTGATGGTCGAACATCTCTAACATAACAAGTTCTTCCAAATACCTTAGGTTCCACCGAAAATAGGGACTTATTTGGAAAAATAATGTTATAGGGTACATTACCTACAAGCACAGTAGATGGCATGTGATTAATCAGGAAACAAGCTGAAGAGATTGCATCGACCCAAAATTGTTTAGGAACCTTTGTTTGAAATAATAATGCTTGAGCTGTCTCAAGTAGATGCCTGTTTTTTCTTTCAGCAACTCCATTCTGAGAAGGAGTATCAACACAAGATGACTGGTGGAGAATCTCATGTTGCCTCATATACGACTGAAATGATTTTGACATGTATTCTTTAGCATTATCACTCCTTAATATGCGCACGATAGTATTAAATTGAGTATTAACTTCAACAGAAAATGCACAAAAATGGGAAAACACTTCAGATCTATTATTTATAAAGTATATCCACGTCATTCTAGAAAAATCATCCACAAAAGTAACAAAATATTTATGTCCAGTTTTGGAAACAACAGGACGTGGTCCCCAAACATCAGAATGAACTAACTCAAAAGCTGACTCTACTCGCTTATTAACACTTGGACCTAACAAGGTGCGATGGTGTTTAACAAATCGACATGTTTCACAATCGAATGAAGAAATGTTTTGAAACTCGGGACAAAGCTTCTTCAACAAAAGTTATGAAGGATGTCCCAATCGACAATGTGTTTCAAATGGAGAAATAACACATGAGTATGCAACAAAACGAGGTTCCCATTCATAAAGTATGTAGAGATCATTAGATACATGTACTTTAACAATAACTTCATTTGTTCTAATGTCATGAAACATACAATAATCAGGAAATAACGAGATATAACAGTTAAGGTCTCTCGTAAGTTTACTAACACAAATCAAATTAAATGCCAATTTTGGGAGACTTAAGCTAGATGGCAGGGTAATAAATGAGGTTGGTTAAACAGTTCCAGATCCAACACTGGTACAAGTTGATCCATCCGCTATAATAATTGGAGATGGTGCTTTGTGTGGCTGGAAGTTAGAAAAAGTATTAGGGTTACATGTCATGTGATTTGTGGCGCCTGAATCAATCACCCATTTATTTGAAGAGGTAATAAGGCACGCTTTCCCTAACTTGACAAAAGTAGTAACTGAAGAAGATTTCTGATACGGGGTGAATCTAGCATAATCTTCTGATGAAACCAAAACGGTTTTATCCGATGATGGCCAATGAACAACATCAACCTTACTATTATGCTTATCTGAACTCTTCCATTCTTCTCCCTTATTATCATTCACTCTCACAATATCAACGCAAATTAACAAAGAAATCACCAAAACTCCCACTATAAAGGTTTTAACAAGAGAATAGTCAACTTCACAAAATGGCTCAACTCAAGTAGAGAAAACTAAAGAAAACCAAATAACCCAAAACAAAGTTCAGATGGTTTGAATACCCATCAGTTCACAGAGTAACAAGAAACTAAAATATGAATAGCCAAAGGCTCCGAACAGAAAACCAATCAAGCAACAAAGAGGAAATTTGAACCAGCAGCAGCAAAGATCAGACAGTAGTCTGGCTTAAAACAGATCAAACAGTAATAGAGAAAGGAATTCAAACTAAAGTATCACCAAAAGAAAGATTGCAGAACCTGGATCTTGATGTTAAATCTTTAAAACGTGGTCCAATTATAAGAAAACCACCATAAATCAATTGGGAATCTTAAGGCAAATCCAAATCAGTAAGACAGACCACCAGTGGTGAAGTCACATGAACCAGAAATATAGCATCGGCTAATTCCAGCCACCACTAGTGGTGAGTCTTGAGAACCACCACTTTAAGTCTCACAATTCCGGTTATGCTCTGATACCATGTGCAAAGAATTGGAGAGAATAACTTGTATCTTATTCAATAGGTAAACCTTTATAAATTGATACTATTGACACAAGCATCGTAAGCATCAATGTGATATGAGACTTTAGGATGAAGGGTGTAGAGTCTAGTTGATGTTTTACCAATTACTAATGTCTTTCGGTAAATATAGATAAATAATTAATTGACTAAGTAGATGATCCAAGAAATTAGATTGAAATAAAAAGGAACTAGCTTCACATTACGTAAAATAATTTGTAGTCGAAGTTAATGTGATGTGAGCCAGAGAGGCTACTAAAAGGATCATTTACCGCATCAAATAAATGTGCTTGTTGGAAAAGGGATATCATTTTTTTAAATAGGTGGTGTGAGATTGTATAACTAATGCAGTTTTTATTTGCTATATGCAGAAGAAATTCAAATGGCTCCCTCACTATACTGATGTTATACGACGTAATTTTGAGAAAAAGGCATCTGCAAGGATGGCACAATTTTTTCAAGATGTTAGGAAAAACTTGCCTCTGAAGCCACATTGAATGAGGGATGCAGTATTCAAGGAGATGCAGAGGCACTGGGAGTCTCCTTCATTCAAGATAAAGTCCAAACAAAAAAAAATTGTGATTTAAATGCTGGTGCATCACTTCATACAGGTGGTTGTATACCTCATCAAGTGATCTATAAGAGAATGGTAATCATAAATTTTTTCAGATATATTTCTTTTAAGAAAATAACATCATATTCAACGTTGATAACACAAATATCTTCCTTCATTATAGAAAGAATCTACTGAAAAAGATCCATCAATTTCAGAATTTTATTTTCAAACTCATCGCAAGAAAAGTGATAAAAGTTGGTTAAATGAGAAAGCTGAACTGCTTATGTAAGTATTCATTCGCTCTATTCTTTTGTAGATTAAATAATTTATTCCTGATTTTGCTATCTTATTGTTGGAGCTCATCTTTTATGGTACTGGAAATTCAAGTTGGTGTATGAGTATATCAGGAATATGGTTGTACAATTATAACAATATGCATAAATCTATGAAACCCTGCAATGGCTATGAATTGTGAAATGAAATTGTTTTTTCCCTTGACAACTTCAATAAATATATTCTTGAATGTTTTTTTCCCCTACTTTTTAAGAAAGTATATAATATCACTGGCCATCTAGAGAGAGTTGCTTTTCCGGTAATTTTGTAAGGTTCCTGTAAAGTGAATTTACATACTGTTGATGGTCAACTTCAACTGTTAGGCATCAAGGCTGGATATTCATGATAGTTCGTCAATTTTCAGTAAATTTTCAATTTTGAGTCATTTTCTTGAATTTGTTTACTTAAGTTACAAAATGATTCTGTTAGCTACAATACATGAGATTTAGTCTAGGATTAGGGAACTTACAGAATCCAAAGATAGTTCATGTTATTTATAGAAGAGAATTTACACTAGCTAAAAAGATTCATAAGATATATAGCCCTCAAGGAGTGATTAGGAGTAGGGATACCGTCAAAACATCTATGATTTCTTTTTATCCAAATACACCATAAAATACTAGCAGACACCATTCTCCAGATATTATTGATGGTGAACTAAATTAGGAAACAATAAAGAGATAATGTTGATATAAGTTTCTAGACTGCAAATTAATTGACAAACCCTGATAATAGATGTCACTTCTAGTTGCTTCATAGCATGGTGTTGCTTTTTTGACAGGTACAGGAAAAACTTCTGAATTTTTAGTATACCTTTCCATGTAAAGCCATAGTAACTCACTCTGAATAGGATGTAAAGAATCTGATAGTTAAATTTGTATGTCCCATTCTACCTTCTCATCTTGCTAGACAATATTAAGTGATATTGGAACAATGGTACTAATCACACTGTCACAGTGGAGCCAGCTACCCACCCAGCTATGCTCCCACATTCAAGTTGCAGAAAAGTTGTATGAAACTGATCCATTTAGTACTTGAAAAGTAATTGTCGTTGGCAACATGCTAACACATATTAATAGCTTGGTGATTATTCATTCTCCATGATTTGATTTTAAAAAAAGTCTCTCATAGAAAATGAAAAGGATGGAGAATGCAAAGCATGTGGTATGGATAACAAGTCATCCCTTGAAATCATTCCTATTTTCAAATGCCAACAAGTAGAGGAAGAAAAATTCAAAAATTACAGGAAACTACAAATTTGATAAAGATTTTTCTATAATACATGAGATTTAGTCTGGTCAGACAGTGCACTCAACTTCACTGATTGTGGTTCACTGATTGCAGCTTGTGCTCCATCATTCAACAAAGTAAAGTGCCTTAACTTGGTCTTTGGTTGTTCATTTGTGTGAGTCCAGCTGTTATTTGCAGATTGTGTACTGCACAAGCATCCTATAATAAGCAAATAGAGTATGACGAAACGGTCATTGAACTTGTTTTGTTGAATGAAAAGAAAAATTTGTTCTTTTTTAGTATAAGATATTTTCATATATCTAGGACATAAATAGATTCTAATATATGATGGTTGCATTACAGTCTACATACATGAGTTATCATCATATTACTTTTATCTTTAAGCTCCAGATTTCAATATCTACCGCAAGACACAACCTCATTCATAAACTCTTCTTGCCCCTGGAATGCCTAGAAATTCTCTCAGGCACGGATACCAAGAGTCTCACCTAAGGACCCTTTTGGGCTTAGGCACCCTTTTTCGATGGACTTCCTCTGCCGAAAACTTTCTTTTTGTTTTCCTTCCCTTTTCCAATCTTTTTTTTCATCCATCTAATCCACATGGACAAAAGAATATACTTCAGATTAGGGGGGAAATCATATGACCTGACTGAAACTAGATCAACCACAAATTTTTGGTACGAATGGGTGGAGAGTGCAAGGCTTCACATGAAAAGGATGAAGCTTAGCAGGGTTGCACTCCTATGGTTATGCAATAGGCTCAAAGATGTTTCATCCATTAAAGGGAAATCATTTAAGACTTGGAAATGAAAAGATGCAACTACCAGCACTTACTGTACCTTAAAGTTCAATAAATATGGAAAGTATATCTCTGTTGTCTCAGTAAATGGCCAGGAACAATAATTATTTTACCTGAAAACTCATTCAATGAAGGATGGGGGGACTTGTCTTAAAGTTAGACAAATTCATAAATCAAAAGGCAAGAGTACAAGTCTCTATTACAGAGCAATGAGGTCTCACTTCTATGGGACTTAGGGGAAAGGATAGTTATAAAGAAATAATACAAAAAAACAAATGGAGGGCTGGAGAACAGGGCTTGACTTTGGCGGCTTTCTATGAAGGAGAAAAAGGACCCCTTAGTAGGTGTTTGGCGGGAAGATTCCAAGAATGCGTCGAGATACCCACTAGAAGTGAGGTTAGGAGCTGGGTGGAAAATTCATGGATGGGCATCCACAATCTGCAGATCTATGACATGAATGGAACTCAGATCCTATTTGAGTTTCAATCGAGAATAGATGCAAAGCAAGTGGGGTCGGAAAAATCACCTTCTGCTTTTAGAATGGTGGACACCAACGGCATGAGCTTTTCCAGAAACTAACTTCGAGTGGTTCTGGATGCATATCCTAGGTATCCCATTGCAGCTTTGGAATGATAAAGTGATGAAACAAATTGGAGATCTTAATAATCGAGGGAGCAATATGAGGAGTGAGAAAGGAAAGGCTATAGAAAACCCTAATCTACAGTTGATAGAGACATGACAGAATAGGGAAATCTTTTTCAAAAGATTTTCCAGTGGTCCTTAGCAAGGACTGTGGCACTTTTACTAGTGGGAGCCACATGACCCTTGAAGGAAATGTGTCAACACATGTGCATGGAGTGGACCCAGACAGTCACAAAAAATTTATAGGAAAGAAATTTTGAGGGAATTGTTGTGGGCCTATTAAAACCCAAACCTCTGATATCCCAAATTGCATTAAAGGGAAAAGTGATGGTCCTATTTTAAAATTCCCTCAAATAAGTCAAGAATACACTCTTTTTTATCCAAATTCTCTCAATAACACAGAGTTGGAGTATGTTATGAGAATGAAGATCAAGAAAATACATGGAAGCTAGAATTCAAGGGACGAACAGAAGGAAATTAACATGCAGAGTGAAGGAAGAAAAGAAGAAAATGACCTAACCCTTTCTATCGAAGATGCACATGAAAACCGAACTGGAAAAGAACAAAGTCAATTGTCAGCAGGACATCTTACAGTATATGAGGAGCCGGTGCCAATTCGGATGAAAGAACCTTTGTCGAAACAGGAGATCAAGGATAAGGCTACTATCTGGGTGAACAGAAGGAAATTAACATGCAGAGTGAATGAAGAAGAGAGGAAAATGACCTAACCCTCTCTATGGAAAATGCACATGAAAATCGGACTGGAAAAGAACAAAGTCAATTGTCAGCAGGAAATCTTACAATATATGAGGAGCCGATGCCAATTCGGATGGAAGAACCTTTGTCGGAACAGGAGATCGAGGACAAGGCTACTAACTGGGTGCAAACCAATGTTCTAAAATTCAACAGGATGTTTGGCACAACCTTTGAAGGATGTGATAAAATAGATTTTGAACTTTTTATGAAGATAGATAAAAAAAAAAGGTGGGCTATTAGATCAAAAGAAGGAGGCGAACAATAAATACACCAAGCAGAGTTCTATTCCTAGAGAACTCAAGAACCTTGAATTCCATGTAAATTTAAGGATGGGGAACCTAGAGGCAGGGGGAGAATAACACTATTGATGCTCAAATGAAGATAAAAATCATATCTTGGAATGTGAGGGGGTTGAATGGGGGGAAGGGATAAAAGGAGCTTGGTTAAAGGTTTAACTAAGCAATGGGGAGCTAATGTTTATGTCTTTCTTGAGACAAAACTGATGGGAGGGGATGCTACTTTATAAAAAGAAGTGTGGCATAGCAGGTGGTTGGGAGAACTTCATTTAGATGTTGTGGGAAGAAGTGGGGGGATAGCGGTGATGTGGGATAAGAGGTACTGGAAGGGGGAGCTGGTAGGGGTAGGAAGGCAAATGATTACATGTAAATTGATAGGCATAGAACAAAATCTTTCTTGGTTTCTAAGTGATGTCTATGATGACTGTAACAATAGTGATCAGAAGGGAACTATGGGAGGAGCTAATAACAATTAGAGATACTTTTGATGGGACATGGGTTATATGTGGTGATTTCAATGTCACTAGGTATCCTAATGAGAGAACTGACAATCACAATCTTTCCGAGATAATGACAGAGTTCACTGATTGGATTAATGAGATGGAATTAATTGATCCTCCTTTATTTGGATGACCTTTTACTTGGAGAAGGGGGGGAAACCATACAATGGCGTCAAGAATAGACAAATTGCTATATTCTAGTCGATGGGAGGAAGTGTTTCCATAAATCAGACAGAGACCTTGCTCTTGTATTGTGGAGAATGGACTCCAATGAAAACATATTTCAAGTTTGAACAATGGTGGATGAGAGTGGAGGGTTTCAAGGAGAAAGTCATAGAATAGTGGACATCATTTTCAGTCACTGGTACAACCTCTTATATGTTGTCCACAAAGCTGAAGATGTGAAAGGAAAACTAAAAGAATGGGGGTTTGAAAACAGAGGTAACTGGAAGCACAAAAAGGAAGACATTCTGAATCAAATAGCCAACCTTGAAGAAATCCAGGAACAAATACCACTAAATGAGGATGAAATACTTCACAAATTCAATCTCACAAACGAGTTTGCAGAAGTGTCTAGGAATGAGGAAGTATCATGGAGACAGAGGTCAAGGGTACAATGGTTGAAACAAGGGTATAAGAATACCAAATACTTCCACAGAGTTGCCACAACCCATAGAAGATATAACATAATTGAAAAACTAAAAGTGGAAGGGGTAACTATCACTGAAACAGAAGAGATCAAGCATGTGATTGTAAGCTTTTATCAAAAGCTTTATAAGGAACCAGAGCAATAGAGACCAGGTTTCAACTTGCAGGGATATGAAAGAGTGAATAAAGAAGAGAAAGTTTGGTTACAGAGACAGTTTGAGGAAGAGGATGTTCTAGAAGCACTCAAGTTGTGTGCTAGTGACAAGGCCCCGGGCCCATATGGTTTCCTTATGAGTTTCTACCAGAGCTTATGGGAAATCATCAAAGTAGATATCATGAAGACAATGCAACAGTTCCATGATCAACATGTTTTTAAAAGAGTTTGAATGCAACCTATATAGCTCTAATCCCTAAGAAAGTGAGAGTTATTGAATTAAGAGACTTCAGACCTATTAGTTTGATAAATGTAATCTACAAAATAATTGCCAAATTTTTAGTAGAAAGACTGAAAAAGGTGATAAGCAAGCTAGTCAATAAACATCAAATGGTCTTTATCAAAAGGAGACAGATCATTGATGCAGCTTTGATAGCAAGTGAATGTGTTGACTCAAGAATTAAAGGGGAAGATCCTAGCATCATGTGCAAATTGGACATAGAGAAGGCATATGATCATGCAAACTTGGAATTCCTGCTCAAAATTCTAGAGAATATGGGTTTTGGGGGAAAATGGTTGATGTGGATTGGCTTTTCTATAAAACCGTTAGGTTCTCCATTCTGGTAAATGGAGAATCTGCAGGTTTTTTTCCATCAGAAAGAGGACTCAGATAGGGAGATCCACTCTCTCCTTTCTTGTTCATCTTATCCATGGAGGGTTTTAACAACATGATGAAAGTGGCTATTCAAAATCATTAGATAAGAGGATTCGCGATTGGCAATCTTTCAGCGGAGGAGATGCAGATATGTCATCTACTATATGCAGATGACACAATCATATTTTGTGAAGAAAAGGCAAGTCAGATTTCATTCATAAGGATGACCTTGGTGATTTTTTAGGCAATTTCTAGGCTATCAATAAATTTGAGGAAGAGCTGCATATTTCCCATTAAGGAGTTTCCTCAAATACAAAGTTTGGCAACTATTTTGGGGTGCAGAGTGGAGCAGCTTCCAACGACCTATTTAGGCATGCCGCTGGGACACAATCACAAGGAGTTAGAAATATGGGATGACATCATTGAGAAGACTGAAAAGAAATTAGCTAACTAGAAAGCCCAATACATCTCATTAGGAGGGAGAGTTACTTTGATAAACTCTGTTTTGGATTCACTGCCTACTAATGTAATGTCACTGTTTCCCATCCATGCTAACGTGGAGGAAAGGCTTAACAAGCTAATAAGAGATCTTTTGTGGTTGGGAAACAAAGAAGGAAAGGGCCGACATTTAGTTCAATGGCAAGTTGTACAACTTCACAAGCAATCAGGTAGACTTGGAATCAGAAATCTGAGAATTCAAAATACATTTCTTCTCTCAAAGTGGCTATGGAGGTTTACCAGGGAAACACATGCTTTATGGACACCATTTTAGTGAACGACGCCTATGGAGTTTCAGTTTGGAGAACCATCAGAAGTTTGTGGCCCAATCTAATCATAAATATAGACTATAAAGTGGGATCTGGAACCAAGAATTCATTTTGGAAGGAGAATTGGATTGGAAATAATTCACTGATGGTCTTGTTTCCAGACCTTCTCCTCATGAGTATTAATCCTAAAGAGACAGTGGCTGATGTTTAGTCCCAACAGGGATGGAACATTGTGTTTAGAGGATTCCTTCATGATTGGGATATTGGGAGAGTCACTGATTTATTACAAATATTGGATGGATTTACAGGGAAAACAATGGATGAAGACTCTATCAGAAGTCTTCAGATGGAGACATATGAGCGATAGGGTGCTATCAGTTAACAGATTATATATCAAGGAAGTGAAAGAGTTGCAAGGTGGTAAGATTGGTCCATGGAACCAGATATGGAAAACCAAGGTACCAACCAAGGTGAAGTGTTTCTCCTGGTTGGTGGCAAGGAAACGTTGCTCCACTCATGAAAGATTAAAGAATAGAGGCTTTAACTTTGCTTCTTGGTGCTCTCTATGTAATGAAGTTGTGGAAACTAATAGACATTTGTTCCTACATTGCAGAGTGACAACATTATTATGGAACTTATATTTGGGCCTAACACAAACAGAGTGAACTATGCCGGAACCCACAACAGATTTACTCAGTTGCTGGATCAGAAGGGGGGGAGTAAAACTCAGAAAAATTGGTGGAGTATGATCCCATCATGCATATGGTGGTCCATATGAAAGAAGAGAAACAGTAGGTGCTTCAAAAACAAGGCTAATACTTTTGAGAAGGTTAAACGGTTGTGTATGACAACCTTTTATTTTTGGTGTAAAGAAGAAGGAATAGATCAGAATGCACAAATTATAGATTTAATAGGAAATATGTAATCTAGTAGTTGTTTTGTCGCAGATTGAAAATTGATGTAAATCTTTTGGAGGTCTCCAACATGTCCTTAATGCTGATGAATACAACCTTACCCTTATAAAAAAAAAATTGCCTTTAAACATTGTCTCAAATAACCTGTTTTGATGCAGAATAATTTTGAAAGAAAGAAACAAGAACTATTAGCTTCTCAAAGTGCATCAACTGTGGAAGGAGAAACTAATTCAGCTGGTCAACCTTCTCAATTAACAGAAATGGATATCTGAGTGCAATCTGTTGGTGGAAAGAAAAAAGGAAAAGTTAAAGGTCTTGGCTCCCTGGGTCGATCTGTAAAGGCATCATCTAAATAATCAACATCGGCTTTATCGAGAGAAATTGATGAGATGATTAAAGCTTAGGTAAATGCTTCCAATGTTGACTTATATGCTCAATTGCAGAAAGATCGTCACAAAAATAAGAGGATGAGAAAGGAATTAGACTTATTGAAGAAGCATGTATACAATGCATCATCTTCAAATGTGCAAATCATCTCAAGAAGACAATCAAGCTTATGAGGATGAAAGTGGTGATGACTCTGATAGCATGAATGACAGTGGTTTTGTCCATGACTCTGATAGCGTGAATGAAAGTGACTATAATAAGGATTGAGATAGTTGATAGTACTATTTAGGATTCAAATTTGAATTGTATTTTGTTTTTGTCCATTTAAGAATCATAAACTATTGATCTTGCGGGTTTCTTTTTGTAGGAATTATGAATTATGAATTCTGTTTTTTGTTGAATGAAAGTAATATAATGTGAGTTGTATTTTTTGTTAGTTCTTGCGGGTTTCTTTTCATAGGAATTATCTTGAACAATATTTTCATATATATATCCGCAAGAAATTTCCTTTTGTTTCACAAAAAATTATCTCCAAACTCCTACAGATTTACTTGGGAATCTTCATGGGGAATTGCTTGTGAAATATTTCTACGAAAATTCGCAAGAAATTTTGTTTTTATAAAAAAATTTGCAAAATTTTTCGATACTTATCGCAGATAAATCTGCAAGTAACACATGCGGATTTTAATTCCCCAGGTAAATTACCAAGGGCTTGTATAAATTCGCAAGTAAGAGTTACTACGAAGGTTTTTCCATCAGATTTCATTTTGCCAGAAAATTCGCAGGTAGTCGAATTACATGCGAATTTTACTATATTATCCCTAGAAAAATCCCCAATTAATCAGTAATTTTCTTATAGTGCGTAGGCTCAGTGTTACCCACATTTTTGTTTTTCTTGTTTCCTTTGACATGAGATTTTGGGGACAAGCCTGCTTCTCTACCAACCAGTTCCATATTTAGTATGTTATCTTCTTCTTCCCAATCTTCTTTGGTTGATCTGTAACACATCTTAAGAAAATTTTAATTAGAGGTATTTTTACTAAATTATCTTATTATGATACTTTGAAATTAGATCTAAATTTGATTACTATTACTTTATTTAGTTGTTTAATAGTAAGGTTAGTATGAGAAAAAGTAATAAAACTTTCTTAATTTGTTAAAATGGATAAGTAAAATAAAAAATCTATTTTTTTATAGAAGGGTCAAGTAAAATGAAACGGAGGGAGTATTTCTTAATATGAGGTGGCCAGAGAACTTAGCAATTTTCCAACCTTTTATCTTATTTTTTTTATCTTCTTTTTATTTAATTGGAGATAGGAAAAGGAGAAATGAGAAGGTGATTGCGATTTTCCAACTTAGCTAATTACAAATCAAATAAAAATAGCACATACATATTCTTTTCCCAATGACTCTAAAAAGGAATTTGAGAGTCAACCCAAAACTTCAAAATAGCAACTAGAGAGTCAACAAACTTTTATGAATTTCTCCCATACATAGTATAGGTTAAGCAGAAGAATTTTGCCTTCTATTTATTTGAGTATATTTTACATACCCAAATTTAATATTGAGTTACAATACTAAAGTTGGAAAAAAGATTTTAGATTGTGAGGTGCAATGACATCAGTCGTCCCATTCCATAATAGTTGAGCAAATTGCTGGTTGGCTGTTTCTGTTGGATGGCTGGCATCAAAGAACACATAATCTGTCACATTTTTACATAACTCATAATCTTTTACTTGTCTCTTTCCTCCACAACTATTAATTCCTTTAAATGCACCTGTCCCACAACATGCTTCTATTGATACATTAAAACCTACACAAAATTACCCTTATGATTGATCATGTGAAACATAAATATTTATCGCATAATACATCAATGTGTCATTTAACCTGACTTCAGCTTGCATCTATGCCCTCCAACTTTGGATGTACAAACAGACACTTAAACATGCACAAAATTGAACAAGTAGACATGTGCGTAATACGTCCTATGTAGCATCCTATGTGGCATCCTACATGTATTATGCCACGTAGGATGCATGTGTTTAGTTGTTCAATTTCATACAAGTTAAATTGCTTATCTGTGCACATCCAAAGTTGGAGGGTATAAATGTAAGTTAAAACTAAGTTAAAGGACATGATTATGTATTATGCCAATATTGAATGTCGTGAATATAATTAAATAAAACTTACCATATTTGGAAGGGTTATCAATTCTTTGAGTAAAGAGTTTGTAAAGATCAAATAATGTAAAATTAAATCCTTTGAAATTTTGTTGTAATTGTGTGAGCCTTTTGGGAAGAGCATTGCTGTGCATCTCTAGTAGTCCACTCAATTCTTGCATGCACTCACCACTTTTACCTCCTATTTGAGCATTAAATGCCCTTCCACCTGGGGAACAACCTTCAGGGGGCAATGTAAATATGATAAATTTTCTTCCTCCTTTATTGTAAATTGCCTGTTACAATATTATTCATTCACACAATGTTAATCAAATTTATTTAATTAATGTTGCTAATACTAGTTAACAAATTAATAATTACCTGTAAAATAGCAGTAAAATTACCCAATACCATCTCCGAAAATTGTTCTTTAGGAAACGGAAACTTTTTAGGATTGGTAAGGTAAGGAAAAGCGTAATCGTTACTTCCCGTGCTAAACATGTATACCGCATCAGTCAGGAGTTGTTGAGACTGTTGTGACCCTAACTTATTCACCAACAATTCAACCACTTCATTGAAATGTGTTAACTGCGTTTGGAGATCTATAACCTGAAAATTAATTTTATTACATTCATCCGGAAAATTTAAACATTTTCATAGATAAAATAGTTATATGTATTAAAGAGATGTCAAAAATGAAAAGAATATAATACGAAAGATAATCTAATATTCAATAGAATGATTTTCAAAAAAATAAAAGTTACTTACAATACCGCGATTGGTTTCTACTAAACAACCTGAGCCACTAGAAGCAAAGTTCACCCCATGTAGAAATTTATCGGTCCCAATTTCAAAAAATGCCGGAATTAATGACAAGTTAGCAAATTCCGCTTCAAAAAATAAAATAAATTAATTACAAATACAAGAGAAGAATAAAAATATCGATATTTTAGTATCATTACCAATAAAATCGGATATGAGGCGACCATCACAAGGTCTACCGGTAGGAGACTTGAAGAACGTTTCACCATAAGGCGACCAATTAGCTTGGAATTGAGTAGTAGTGTTGATATAATTATTATTTCCTACATCTAAAATCGAATCACCAAACACAAATAGGGCAGGTAAAGGTCCTTCACCATCAACACATTTAATTGGATTGGTAAAGAAAAATGCAAAGAAAATTAAACAGCATACATGAAACAAGTTGGCACTGAAAGCCATTATAATTGTTTGTGATGATAATGGGGATAGTTCGATAGTTTGTCTCACTTTTATATAAAAAAATATTGTTTTCTTTTATGATTAAAATTTTAATATGGACATCTACAGATATCTTAACCTGATCGATCCTATATTAAATGTTAGGTTAAAAATGGCAAGATTTTTTTAAATATAATTCTTTATGTAGTCTTTCCTAGGTAAATTGGTAGTTGATTATTTACTTAATTTATGTTTATTTTATTATTATAAAAATAGGAATAACACTATTGAGTGACCAAAAATTGTTTTTAAAATATTAATAGATTATATACCTTTTAAATCTATTTATACTATATTTTTATTGGTTACTTTGGTAGATACAAAAAACCATCACAATTGATAATGTAGGTTAAAACAAATACTATTTCTAATTTTCGATTTGAATCCAATGTATTAAAGAGTTGCTATTACATTCAGATGAGAAATATCGAACGGAAAGGTACTTTTGTAATTGAAAATTGTTTGTGGGTAAAATGTTTAAGTCTAATTTAGAAAGAGATTAGGTAATTATTAGACCATATTTTAATATGCTTAGATATTTTTAGAATTATCTTATATGTTTGATCTTAAAAGATAGAATAAGAGTCATTACACTAAAGTAACATATTAATTTCATGACAACGAATAAAGTAAACATCAAATTAATATCTATCTATATATAATAAGAGAAGAAAAATGCCACGTGTCAGCACCACAAAAAATAAAATTTATAAATTGTTAAAATTAATTTAAATTCTACAAAAAATAAATTACAAACGTACATAAAAAAAAACTGCTATTACTTTAAAAATAATAATAATAATACTAATAATAATTTCTATTATTATTACTATAATATTATAATAATAATATAATTTTTACAACTAAACGAGGTAATTTTAAAACAGTTCTAAAAAATAGGGTATGTGATTCCTTTTTTTTTTGGGGAGGTTATCATATTTTTAGTTTGAATAATAATAAATAAATAACTGCAAACAAAAATGAAAAATACAACCCCCCCCCCCCCCACTTACTTGAAAACACGACATTTTAAAATTTTAACTTTTATTTTCAGTTTTAAAAAAACAATTAAATATAAAAAACTGATTAACAAAAGAGTATCTATCTACATATATTGATATTTATTATATATAAAAAACAATTACTTACTATTTTGTTTTTAAAAAGAATTTTATAGTAATGATGATAATAATTATAATGATAATGATAATAATGATAATAATAATGATAATGATAATAATAATAATAATGATGATAATAATAATAATAATAATAATA